AAATAAATAAATAATTTTTAAAAAAGGGCAAATTGACTTGAAAGAATGTTATTAAGTATATAAAAGCAAAAGTGGCTAAGGAAAAATCACAAATGACTGAAGTTCAGGAAGTACGGAGACAAGCATGGGGTGGGGGTGAGGAAGGCTGCTCTGGCTGGAGAACCACTGTCCCTTCTGGAAACACAGGATGGTCCCTCGCTCTTGGGGAGATGGGGCTCACCTCACTCCAGGGAGGCAGGAGCCAGTACAGAAACAGGTGGCAAATAGCATATCCCAAGTAAGCTCTATTCACTCACTTTTAGATACCACTTCAGTAAATTACATCTAAGAAAAAAGTCCACTGGCCTCTTCCGGAGTAACTCCTGCTCAGAGTAAAGAGAAGGCAACCAAGTTACACCAACCAGCTTTTAAAGACTTTCCATGGACATTCCAAGTTAATGCATCTGTTGTTTACGAGGGAAAGGGGAGGGGGGGAGGGACATGAAAGAACAACACAACCAAAAAAGGCACAACACCAAGACAAATGTCTCTGGGATTTTTATAATCCCAGGGAGACCGCTTCTTGGACAAAACTTCCCAAGCACTGATAAAGGTCACTCTTGCCAGTTAAATGTATGCAGTTTTCACTTTCTGGAGGAGGCGGGATCCTCCTCCCAGCCGCCGGTTAATTTTTCCTCCCAATAAGATCACTCTTTAAACAGAGGCTGGAATTTTAAATGATTCTGTTTCTCTTAACTCACTGAACCCTACACTCCCTGATACCTGGGTTACTGACTAAAATGTAACTCATAAACTTTCCTGAAGAAAAGCAAGTGTTACTTGTGCCACTTTCAGACACTTTATAACAACTTCTGGCGTCTAGACAGGCAACACTGTAAAACTAAGTTTCCTTATAACCGCGCTTGATGCTTTGATGTTTCAAAGTTTAACCTCATCCTAAAGGAGACTGATTTTGAGCTCTCAAACTACCCAGGACATAAAGGCTTCTTTCAAACCTCCCTGGATGACAGGATTTGTAGCTGCTCAAGTAGAAGCTTCCACCCACCTTTTAGTAGGTCAGTGTTTCAATTACCACTGCCATTGAATTACCAACTTGCTATCACTTGCCTCCTATTTCCATGAAAAAAGAAAAGGGGGGGAAGGGAGACTTAAACAAGGTAACGTGAGTGCATTTGCTATTCTGTAAAATAAATAGGTAAATAAAGGCAACGGAAGGGAACTGACCATGACTGATGAAAACACAGACATCACTAAGTGAAGGAAATAAGGATAAAGCTGGGGAAACCATTGATCTGGAATATACCAAATGCCAGACAAGAGAGAAACATGTTGATAATTCAGCCATTCAGAAAACCTGAATGAGCAAGTGATACCAGAGCAAACAGCTGTTCCTTATTTTTGCCCTTTCCCTCTCCCCTCCCCCCAAAATAAGAGCAAAGGAATTTTTTTTTTTTAAAGAACAACCCTAAGATCTGGTCAAAGGCTTGTACAATTCCCAGCACACTATAAATCAATATGGCAAAAGCCAAAAGCGTTCATCTCAACAGTCTCAGAAATTCCTTGAGCCTTCCCCAAATCAATTCCTTTCTGGCTCCATTCTCTTCGCTGTCATCTGCTAGACCAGCACTGCCAAATAACTTGTACTACTCACTCAGTTAACGCTGTAGAAGGGTGCTGTCTGGCCAAAGTCAGCCGTGACTGGAATATATGTTTAAGTGGCAGAACTCCCCACCCCAGAGGCTTCAGATTGGAATCCAGGCTTGTCCCCGCTCCCCTGACATCTGATTAAAAGGACATTTTGAGTGCAAGCCTACATTTTAACTGACCTCCCGTACTGCATCTCAGGAGTTTAATAGCACCAGCAGCACCTGGATATTAAAACCCCACCCTCATTTCCGGGGTTGTTTTCCTCCAACACTTTCACCAAACTTTTCCCACAAGGCATCCCACTCTAGGCCAGGCAATCGGCTGCCATTAAATGAAACCATTTAGCACCAGTTCCAACTGGAGAGTGAGTCAGCTCCCGGCTGCCAAAGCAGCTTCCTTGTTGGTCTCAGGGAGGGTGTTTCAAAAGGTAGAGGGCAATCCTGGGCCCACGCCCTGGAGAGCACAGAATTATATGAAGAAACAGGCACCACTCCATGGCACCAACCAGATTTCAACTCTCAGCTGAATGAGTGTGAGTGAGTACAAGGGGCGCTGTACTCCCAGGCCATCCTCCCACATCTCATCTCTTCCACAGTCATCAGAAAAGCCCTGTTCTTAAAACACATGGTTGGGGGGCGGGGAGGACAGAGGCTAGCAGCTAATAGCTACCCCTACCTCTCTCCCAAGAAGGCAAACAGGATACCTGCCGCCCTCACATATTTACAGTCTTTAATTCTAGATGACAACTGAGTTTAGGTTTTTTGGGGTTTTGTTTTTGTTTTCAGTATGTAACTTATTCAGTTTTTAAAACTGCTAAGGATCTTGCTAGTCTCAGCCAAGTCCTAAGAGGCAAGCAATTAGAGTAATGGAACAAAATAACAGACAGCTACTTTGAGGTCTCTATCATCAGCCTAAGGAAAAAACAAAACAAACAAGACACCATCAGAACTTTCAAATAATTAACTCAAATCTAATAGAGCCTGAGTCAAAGGTCAGGGTCTAAACACTGAGGCCCTGTAAGCAGTGATGTTTCAATGAACAGGCAACCTTAGCAAAGGAGGCAATTCCTCTTGCTGTGATGAGAAGTTCTAGATCAGCTATCAAGTGACCTCACCTGTCCAGCAGAATGGGGGGCGGGGGGCGGGGCAAGGCTACCCAGGCCCCTTTCAGAAACTGGGAGAGAGAACTCTGGCCCAGAGCTATAATTGCTCAAGAATTTGCTCAAAGGCCAGACCAGGCCTTCCCCCACACCCCTGGAGAAAACACGCAGAGCCTTCCCAGATCAGAACTGTTGCATAAGCTACTTATCAGGTAATGCCTTGGTTACAAGGGTCCTTAGAAGGGCTTCAGGTAGAAGTGAGAACCACCAGGATCACACGCACCCTCTGACTTGGGCCAAACCTTGCTTAATTCCTAGAAGAATTCAATTCCACACGCTTTAAGGGCCTACAGCTATCCTGGATAGTGATTTTTAGGGTATGAGAGTACACACAGGACACTCACAGGACTGCCACTCTCCCTGTGACCAGTGGCTCAGCCTTGAAGGGGCAAGAAGGGCAATCTGTCATTCACTAAAGTGACACTGCAGCGCAGAAAAACCCAGCCAGCCTGTCTGGGGGGAATGGGGGTGGGGGGGTTCCTCTTAGAAGGAAGACAACAGCACAAACTTGTGTATATGGTTCCTTTCAATTACTCCTTCTCCCATTTCAGAAAGGATCCCCACCCCGTAACAGGCAGGTGCACAGCAGTGAAGCAACATTTCCCCCCAAAGTACAGCTATGTGTAAGTATTTGTAGCAGTTGTATAAAGCAGGACACACTAGAATCTGCCCCTTATTGAGAACCTAAAACAGCTAGTATTAGAGGGGTTGTGAGCCACCCTTTCCCTGAACCTCGCCTGGTCCTTGTGGAAGGGAGGAGGGAGGATGATCCAACAGCAGCAAGGCCTAGGGGTTCCGGTGAGTCCCCTAGGGGGTCCCACCCAGGCCTGAATGGTGCCTCAGCCTCACCCAGCGCGCAAGGTAGCCTATAACCACGAAGGAGCACACACCCTAACTCCCAGAGGGGAGTGGAAGTGAGCTAGCAAAGGGAGTCACTCTGGGAGTTGTAGAAGTCAGGAAGGGAGGGAATGGGAAGGTCCCCACTCCCACCACCTGAGTAAAAATGTTCCGAAGCTCATTCTCCACAAGCACCTGGAGCTGGAGAAGACAGATCCCAGACATGCTCAAAAACAACCCCGTGGCCCCCTGTTCCCCTCCCAACTTTCCAAGTCTCTTGGCAACTCTTAACCTTTTCCAGCCCGGCACTGCCTCCGGCAATAAATTACTGTTGAGACTGCAGGCTAGGTCTCTCCCCTCAAAAAGAATTTTATGTCAGATTATCTCAACCTGCCCACCCGGAGGAAGGTGGGGCAACAGATAAGGACACCACCATCAAGCCGCCCCCCCCCCCCCCCCCCCCAACTACTGATGAGGAAATTCAAGCAGAGGTTGGTAATTTACCCAAGGTCATGCCAGGCTCCACCCCAGGGTGCCTGGAACAGCTGCTCCCTTCACCCTTTCCCCTCCACACTGGGCTGCCTGCACGGAGCTCCCAAAGCACCAACTCACACCCTCAAGAGGCTTCCAGCCGCACTCACCACTCGAGCCCCTCGCCTGAGTTGGCCCCCATGATCCTGAGGAAGCTCCCCCAAAGCTACCCTCCCGAAGTCCCAACACCACACACATCCGTCCTTGTAGAATCAAGAAGGGACCCCTTCGACCCCTCCTCATGTCACAGATGACAGAACTGCCCTGAGATCAAGGGTCTTGCCCAAGGCCACAGAGCTGACAACAAAGCTAGGAAGAAAATCCAGATCTCCGGAACATATTAAATGCCTCTAAGTGCAAGTACTTCCCACCCTCTTCACACACAACACTTTTAAACAGCCCCCTCCCAACACACACACCCACTCAACACCCTCCTTTCTTTAGCTCTTGCTGCACATGCTCAAACCCTCTCTTCTATAAGCTTGGAGCTCTCCCCTCTCAACCACCCTGGATTACACACACACACACCACCTTCTCAACATGCCACCTGAAAACAGACCCTGCTTTAGAAAGAGCTCTTCACCACCACCCCCAAAAGACACAATTCTTCTGGACACTCTCACCTCTTCCTCCCCAAACAATGTATTCTCCCTTCACAATACACACACTCTCTCCAGTCTCGGGACTGCATATCCAGAAGCCCCCACCCCCAAATTCCTTTCTCAGTCTATCCATCACACACTCCCTTTCTAATGAGACTTTCATTACTACTCTAACCTCCCTCCCACCATCCGCCATTCCGCTCATTCCCTCCCGCCATCCTCACCTGGTCCAGGCTACCTTAGCCTCCGGCGCCGCCAACCCTTTGCTGAGCTTTGTCTGCGTTCCATCAGTTCTTCAGAACCCCTCCTCAAAACACTCCAGATACTCTCTGGATCCCCCCTTCGGCCTCTCCTCATCAATGAGGTCTCGGCCTCATCACATTCCTCCTCTTCTTCCTATCTCCCAATCTTCTCCTCTTCCCCGTAGAACAGCGCACCCCAAATAAATCTCACCTCCTCCAAAACCTCCTATTCACAGCTCCCTAACTTCTCCCTTCAGACCCGGAGTCCCGGAACTCCTCCTTAGCAGCCCTCCCCGTTCTCACCCCCCAAGCTCCGGGTCCTTTCACACCCACTTCTTTCCTCAGCCCCTCTCCTCCTTCCACCTCCCCAGTCTCCCCAGTCCTCCCACTACTCTTCAGACTTCATAATCCCTTCCTTGGTACCCCTACTCCATCTTCAGACTTCCAGAATCTTCATCCCCTTTAGAAGTCCCCCAACCCGGGGCTCCCACAATTCCAACCCTCTTCAGAGGATTCCGCAATCCAAATAACCCCCTCCGTACTCGAGCTCTTCAGACTCCCCCGACGCCTAACTCTATCCTGACCCACAAATTCCAGACTCCCCCGTTTCTCTCTGAACACCCCCCAGTCCATCCTGACCCACCAGTCCCGCCTCAGACCCCATTCCATTTTAGAGTCTCCAATCATCTCGCCGGTTTCCCCCAATTCCCCGCCCAGACCCTCCAATTCCTTCATCGGGCTCCCCGATTCCTTGTTTTAGATTTCCATATTCCCTACTCAGCCGCCAATTATTTTTTCAGACTCCCAATTCCCTGCTCAAGTTCTGCAACTCCTCTTCAGGACTCTAAACCCCTTCCCAGACCCGCCAGTTCATTCCCAGGACGCCCAGTTCTCACCACAGACCCTCCAATTCCGTCTCAGGACCTCCCAGCCCCCAGCCTCCCTCGGAAGCCCCCCCCTCCAGCCCATTCGGCCCGCGGGCCGCGCACCTTGCGCTGCTGCTTCTCCCAGGCCGGGTCCAGCAGCAGGTCCCGGTCCCAGTCGTCCTCCTGGGCCATGTAGTCGCCCATGCTACCCCCGCCGCCAGCGCCATTGCTCCCGCTGCTGGGGCCGTATTGGTACGACTGGTTCGCCGCGTGGTAGTCCACCATTCCGCTGCCTCTCCCGAGCCCGTCCACTCCCGCCTCTGCTCCCGCCCCTCTGGCCGAGCCGCCGTCGCCGCCGCCGCCGCTACCGCCGCCGCTTCAGCAGCTTCAGCCCGCCCTCCGCTGACGCCTGCGCACTGCTCGCTGCGCCTGCGCACCGCGCCGCCGCCGCCGCCCTCTCGCGCGCGCGCGCTTCCTATGCCAAAAAGCACTGAAACCCCGCCTCGGGGAGCTCGGAGCCTGCGCAGAGTGCACCTCCCCTCGGCCCTTCAGCTCATGGACGAGCCGCGCCCCCTCTCCCGCGTGAGCGCGCGCAGCCTCTGCGTGTGGGCGGGGCCCGAGCATGGATGATTCGTAAGGCGGGTCTCGACATCAGGCTTGAACCTGCTGAGGCGTGGCGTGTATTCCCATTCAGTAACAGAAATTTAACAAATATTTATTAAGCGCCCTCTGTGTGCGTTGCCAGTAAACAAGATAGACAAAACTCCCTGGCCTCATGGAAGGGAGACAACAAAATTTTAAGTACATATATATTACAGGGGTAAGTGTTATGGAGAAAAATCAAGCAAAGCTGGAACGTAAACGAAGTACTCAAGGTAGCCTTTGCGGAGAAGGAGAACATTTGAACAAACACCTGAGGGATTCACGAAATGAACATGGGAGTTAGATAGACTGGAATAGATACTGGCTGATGGGAAAGGTAGAGGATTTTTTGGACTTGTCTATCTTCATTCATTCAACAAACATTTATTGGGCACCTACTGGTGTGCCAGGGCCTGTTCTTGGGTACTGGCGATATGGTGCCGAGCATGATAAATGTGATTGGTTCTCAAGTGGCTAATATGGGGGGGCGTGGCGCAGCAATAAATAAATAAATACAGATAAATGACATTGCTACATTGAGGCATGTCAAGTGTAAATATCCAAAGCGGAGCTCCTCATCTTGCTCTCTGACCTGGTCACCCCACAGTCATCCCCATCCCAGTCAATGGCACCTCCATCCTTCCAGCTGTGCAGGCAACAAAGCTTGCAGTCCTCCTTGGCTCCTCTGTCTTCACACCCCACATCCAGTTCTTCAGGAAATTCTGTCAGTTCCATCTTCAGAGTATGTACGGAATCCACCCACTTCCCCTTTCCCCCACGGCCACACATCCTGGTCCTGTCCAGCCTCGCCTTGTCTTCGCTTGGACCACTGCAGTAGCGTCCTCACCATCTCTCTGCTCCTCCACTCACCTCCCAACTCTCCTTCTCACAAGAGGTCAGAAGGAGCCTGTGAACACTTGAGTCAGATCAAGTCCCTTCCTCCCTGCTCAGAACCTTCCTTTGGTGCCTCGTGTCAAAGTCAAGGAAAGGAGGAAAGGCTGCCGGAGTCTTCCTTGCACTGGTGCAGCCCAGCCCAGCTTTTGAAATAACCGAGACTCCTGGGGCCTCAGCCAAACCCACAAGGTCTTCCAGGTCCTGGTCATCCTGGTCCCCATTCTTATCCCAGCTCACCTCCCACTCTGCCCCTCCTCTCTGAGCTCCCGCCACACTGCTGGCCTCCTAGCTGTTCCTCCAACACCCCGGGTATGCTCCAGCCTCAGGGCCTTTGTATACGGTGATACCTGTTACCACTGTTTGGAACACTTTCCCCAGATACTGGATCCCCTGGGCTCATAGCCTCCTCTCCTGCAGATCAGCGGAAGTATCACCTCGTGAGACCTCCCCTGACCACCTTTTCATAAATAGCATCCCACACCTTCCCAGCTTTATTCTTTCCAGAATACTGATCACCATTTAATATACTACATGACCGCTTTATTTATCATGTTTATTTGTCTCCTTCCCAACAATGTCAGCCCGTGAATGGTGAGGATCTTTTGCTTTGGTCACTGCTGTATCTCTAGCCCCTGAAGCAGTGTCTGGTACAAGACAGAAGCTTAATAAATCCCAGATGAATGAACAGACTTAAAACCATACTGAAGAATCTGAGGAGTTTTTTTGGTTTTTTTGTTTTTTTACTATTTTTTGCCTGAAAAGAAGTTTTGATTTTATTCTAAGTGCAGTGCGGACATATAATGAATTTTATTCTAAGTGCAATGGTAAGTTAGGAGAGGACTGCAAGCAGGGGTGGGGTCTGATTCAACTGTCCATAGGGTCTGTCTGGCCACACAAGGGGAACAAACTGTAGAAGGTGGAGTGAGTTCAGGGAGCCCAGCGGGGAGGCTGCCGCGATGGTCCTGACGAGGCTGGACAGACAGACAAGAGGGTGAAGGAGGAGAGTGCTGAGGAGAGGCAGTGGGAGGATGTGGGAAAGTGGAGCCTCCAAGACTTAGTGTCATGAATTTGATGGGGGTGGGAGGCAGGGGCGGGAAAGAGCAAAGAATCAAGACTCAAGATGGCTCTAGGTTTTGGACCTAGAGCAACCTTGAGGGAAATGGGTGGGTGTTAGGGAAGGTACGAAGGTAAGGGTTTGACTGAAGCAGAGCCTGACCGGCAATACAAAAGGACTGTGTTGCAGTCATCTGCTGGGGATGGGGATTGGAAGACACAGCTTCTCCAGGTTATGGGAGCTACCGGGATCTCTCCTCTCCTCTCTCAAAGGCACTAGAAGAGATCCAAGGGCAAGCAAAGGAAGGGGATGATGCCTAGGTGGCAGCCCACTTTCCCAGATAATGCCATGACCTGGCCAAAGACACGGGTGTTGGCTGTTTCCAAAGCTGGGCTGGGCTGGGCTGGGTCTGGCTTGGGGCAAAGCACCCTCTTCCTGCCTAACCTGCAGAACGAGCCCAGGACTCTTGCGCTGGGCTTGCAGGGCAGGGAAAGGCCACTCAAACAATGGGCCATCTGCCCCTCCCTGCGTGCTCCCGGTTGACACTGAGAAACCTCCCAGACCAAGGGCTCAGAGATGAAGTGGATGTCGAAGTCCCCAGCCAATGAGGTTTAAATTAAAGGCTCCCTTTAACTGCCAGCTTTGAGGCCACTTCCCAGCAGCCATCCATGGACAGTGCAGTAATAATAGCTACTGTTTATGGAGGGTCAAGGTGCAGCAGGCAAGAAGAGGGGGCAGGGAGAGATCCCTGAGTGAAAGGGTATGGCCAGTGGGCCCTGGCATTAGGTTCACCATTTCCACATCACCATTTCTTGGAGCTCTCGAGACTTCAGTCAGAACTTATTAAATGCTGTATCCCATTACTGGGAAATCTCCGGCAGTCTAATGGTTAGGATGCGGCACTTTCATGGCTGTGGTCCAGGTTCAATCCCTAGTCAGGGAACTAAGATCCCACAAGCCTCACGGTCAAAAAAATAAATTAAATAAATAAGTGTTGGATTAAAACAAATAAATGCTGTATCCCATTATTAATGCTACTTAGATGAAACAAAGGAGAGAGGGCTGCATCCTCTCAGGGTAGGAACATGAACAGGTCCTGGGATGTCTAGAGGCGACTGTGGAAGCACCTGAAACAGCAGCCCTAAGCCCAAGCCACCATGACAGGTGACAAGTTGAGTGCATTAACTCACAGCAATGACTGGAGTGGGTACTCTCCCCAGCTGTAAGACTGAGGCACAGAGGGGTTGACTAACACCCCCGAAGGTCACTAGGCTGGTGTTTGAACTCAGTCGTTCTGCAGAGCCAGGCCTCTTAGCTGCTCAAAGGATGATCCTCCTGGAGTAAAAGCAGGTTGGCAAAGCCGGACAAGTTGTGGCTTCCAAAACAGATAAAGGTCATTTCCTCCTCCCCTGCAGGGTGGCCATGGCCCATTGTACCCTTCACAAGGGCAATGTTACGTGGGTGAGTGGGAGTGTGCCCACCCAGAACGGGTGCCTTTTGCTGACTCACACAACCAAATGGGTGGGTAACAGCATCCCAGTCTCCCCTCCTTCTACCCCCCTTAGAGCTAGCTCCCAATTCCTGAGCTGCAAAAGCACCCTGTTCCCCAGGGTTTGGGTATGCCCTAGTTCCTGGATCCTGCTCAGGTCTGATCCCAGAGCAAAGGGTGTCCCGTCGGCCCTGCCTCCCCAAGTCAGGGCCCTCAGAGAACGATGGGTGTGAGTGCTGGCAAGTGGGGAGGGCTGGGAAGGCTGGCAGCACAGGCTCACCTGCCCTTTCCGTGGGCAGAGTCCACACATATGGTCATTTGAGAATGAGGCGCTCCCTCAGGGGCACCAGCAGTCTATGTAAAGGGATGTGCATCTATTGTGGCATTTGATTTCCTCCATTTTCCCCAGTCACTGTTGTCCCCACTCCCTCTTCCTGCAGGCAACAGGCTCACCGGTGAAGACACCGGCCCAAAGTCACTCCGCCTGAAAGTCTGGAATACCTTATAAAATGCGAATAACCAACCTAAGGTCACTCTGCCAGAATGTCTGGAATACTTTGTAAGATGCGAATGACCAACCCAACTAAGATCATGTGACGTGTGTTGGGCCTCCTGGCCACTGTAGGCTGGGACTCGGCATGGGGTAGGGGTGGAATGGCCTGGCCTCAAATCCCAATTTTCTTATAAAGTCTCACCGAACAGAAGAGTGCTGGGGACTAGTTTGCAACACTGGGGACAAACTCTTCTGACTCTGAAATTAACGACTCCAGTTTTCTAAGCGCCAAAATCAGGCTAGGTCCTGATCTGAGGAATTTACCAGCCAGAGCTCACAGAATCCTCATGATTCTGACAAGGGTGCATTATTCTCCCCCTTTCACAGATGAGGAAACTGAGGAACAGAAAGCAAGGACACAAAACCGCTTGAGCAAGCAGCCAGAATACCCCCCCGCCCCCGCAAACTCACCCCTCCAGCCACTGCCTCAAGGCCACTAGTGGCTGCATCTGTGAGGGCCAAGGGCAACCGGTGCCTCTCCCTCACCAGGAACCCAGTGGCCACACCTGTTCGCCTAGGTTTTCAAGAGGACAGAAGAGCCCAAGCTGGCCCCAGGTGCAGGGCTGGGCTCCTACATCCCATTCACACCCTCCTCCTTGCTGACTCACCCACAGCCCATTCACACCCTCTTTGCTGACTCATGGCTGCGTGCCCTCCACTTGTGACCTGACAGGTCAGGAAGGTGGTGATGGAGGTCAGTTGCTGGGTCCGGGCAGAGGAGGAGATCAAAGGAAGCTTGGCTGCTGGTGGACGTGGGTGTGGGCAGCCAGAACAGAGGTGGCCCCGGCACAGGGCCATGCGAGGCCTGCTCCCCTGGCGGGAGAGGGGCAGAGTCAGGTAGCCAACAAGAAGATAACAGGGCTAAGAAGTCAACAAGTCTTTATTAAACGCCTGCAAAGTTACTGGGAGGAGGCCATGATGCTGGACACACCTGTTGAAAGGGAAGGCCAGGGTCAACGTGAGCACAACGGGAGACGAACCTCTAGCCACCAACCACAGCGCCCATGATTGTTTAGGGGCAGATGATCACAGACCCCCTCAGTCACCATCACAAAGGCAGTAGAGTTAAAAGTCTGGAGTCTGGAACAAGGAGGCCTAGGTTCAGGTCGCGGCTCCACCCTGTACCGGGGGCAGGGTGGGGGGGGGGTGACCTCAAGCAAGTCGCTAAACATCAGTTTCCCACCTGTAAGAACCATCTACCCTATGGGATTAAATGATGGCCTTAGAACAATGCCTGTTACTAAGTAAGTGTGGCTCGCTATCATCATCACCGTCATAGTAACATTTATTACGTACTGTTTGCAAGACACTCTGAGCACTGAACTTACATCTCCTCACTGCAGAACCCTTTGCTCCAGTGAGTTCTCTCAGAGAACCCCACCCAGTGGGCACATCTCATTTAGAGTGAGGGTCCACAGCCCCCAATCGTGGAGATGACTGCCCGCTCAATCTTGTTTCTCGATTAAGCAGCAACTTGGTTTGTACTCAGAGGCTACACCATACCAGTCCGTATCTTTCAAACACCAAAATCACACTCGAGACCCAGGGCCTAAGGAAGCAGCCCTTCCCTGTCCCCCGGTTCTCTCTCACTCCAAGACATCCATGCAGCGCAAAGGTGAGAGAGCACGTGCTAGTGGAACAACAGGTTTGCTCCAGCTGAGCAGCCAGTGGAGTCTGTTAGGTAATGTATACGTGATGGTGACAAAGGTAACCTTCAGTGAGCTGTGGGACTGGTTCCTTGCTAAGTGGTGCACGTGGATCGCCTCACTTCACACTCACACCTCCATGAGGTGCCTATCGTGGTGGTGTTCAGTTACTTACAATAATGGCACCTACCTTACGGGGGTGACCTGAGGACCGATGACTTAAAAAGTGTAAAGAACTACACAGTGTTTGTTATAATCATTGGTGCCAACATCCCCCCTTTATACGTGAGAAAACCGAGGCACAGAGAGATAAAAATCTCTTGCCCAAAGTTACACAGCTATGAAATAAAGAACCAAGATCCCACCCAGCTAGCCGGACTGCAGAGCCTGCACTTCTGGTTGGTGTTTTGCTGCGTTTTAGCAGATGCGGGGCTGAGGCCCCGAGAGCCCTGGGATCAGTGAAGGTGCGGGGACACCCTGCAAGGCCCCTCCAGACCCCGGGAAGTCTTACTGAGTGCTTCAGGGCAGGATATAGTACCCAGAATTCCAGGGGAGGACACCCAGCATTCTCTGCCATCCCTCCCTGGGCAGGCGGCCTGGGACGGAAGAGGTCAGGGGAGTCTGGCAGATGCCAATTTCCTGGCCTTGAACCAGAACCTATTTACCTGGGTCCTTTGGGGCCCCAGCCCTGGTCTGTCAAAGGGCACCTCCTAAGGCCTACAGCCTGAGGCCTCAGGCCACCACTCACTGTCAAAGTCGATCTTCTCCACGATATTCTTGGGCTTAATGCTCTCTTCCTGGCTACAGATGAAGATCTGGCCCGACTCATCGGTGCTCCAGCCGTACTTGCTCATCCACACCTTTAGCTGGCTGTCTGCAGGGGACACAGCAGCACAGGGGCTTTGCGCACTCTGATCCCACAGCACCGGGGGGCCAAGGTGTCCCCCTTCCCCGCCTTCAGCCCACCTGGTCTCCTGCTGCCGGCCTGGTGCTTCTACAGTTCATTCTCCGAACAGCAGCCAGAGGGAGCCTTTTAGCCTTCTCATCCTTCCCGTTACAGGGCTTTTGCCTTAGCCTCCTTTCATTTTCTATTTACCTCTCCCATTTCGAAGCTCGGCTCCTAATGACAGCAGTGTACTTATCTGCCCTTCGCCACAATCTACATGAAATGGCTTCAGAATTAGGGCGTCATCATTACCACTGACAATAAGCTTATGGCACCAGGTCTAAGCATTTCCCTGCAACTGTTTTTTGCCTTTAGAAAATATGCCTGTAAGGTTGTCCAGCCAGAGAAGTGTTCTGTTCCTTGAAATAACTCTTTTCTGTATGACTATTATTCATCTGTTTCTCTTTACATTCCATTCTAAGGGTTGTTTCATCCCCTTTTGATTTAATTTCACTTTTAAATATGTAAAACATCTATCCGAGGTAAAGCACTTAGTATAGTGCCTGACTCAAAGTGCCCACTAAAAGTTAGCTTCCACTGAAAACACACAAACATCCCACAGAAAACCCACCTGGCTCAAAAGGCAAAACTACCCAAGACGGTACTTAGAGAAATCTCTCCCCCAACCCACCACTCTCCTCCCTGTTCTCACGTCCGGCCCCCAGGGAGTAACCATTTTCCTTAGTTCTTTTATTTTTCCTTCTTGCGTTTCTTTTTGCAAAATGAGCAAATACACACACATTTTTTTTTTCTTTTTGGAGGGATCTTTTTTTTTTTTGCGGTACGCAGGCCTCTCACTGCTGTGGCCTCTCCCGTTGCGGAGCACAGGCTCCGGACGCACAGGCCCAGCGGCCATGGCTCACGCACGGGCCCAGCCGCTCCGCGGCATGTGGGATCTTCCCGGACCGGGGCATGAACCCGTGTCCCCTGCATCGGCAGGCGGACTCTCAACCACTGCTCCACCAGGGAAGCCCTTGGAGGGATCTTTAAAAACATAAATCTGATCAGGTCCCTCTCTGCTCAGATCCTCCAGTGGCTCCATCTCACTCAGGGTAAAGGACAAAGTCCTCAGGCAGGAGGCTCCTCAGTATCTGAAGCCCCTCCCACCACCACCTCTCACCCTGCTCCAGCCTAGGGCTTCCTGGCTGCTCTGTGAGCACACGGGATCCTCACATTGGCTCTGCCCTCAGGCTGTAACCGTTCAGACGCTGCACCTCCTCACCTCCATGTGCCTCCTGTCCCCCCGCCCCTCGCCCACCCCAGCCCTCTCTAGGGGCTGTCATGCATGAATTCCCACTGGACATGTACATCTTCATTTGTCATCTGCTTTGCCAACTCCACAAGAACGAATCTGAGTCATTCTGTGTTGTTCACTGCTGTGGCCCCAGGGCCTTGAACACAGAATAGGCGTTGAATTAATTTACGCAGAATAAATGAATGAATGCCACAGGAACCCCGCCAAAGAAGGGAACATTTTATACTAATTCCTTATTCCCTCCCTGGGCCTTCAATAATGACCTGGTGAGGCAGGGGTGGGCCCATCTGAGAAGCTGGCTGAGGCCCACCGCCCTCCTCGCTCCCAACCTCCTAAACGGGCACTAGGGACCCAGAGGGGGCCTTACCTGTCAGATCCCCGAGCATCTCGGCCAGCAGCCAGCGATCAATGTGCTGATAAGTAATGCCCACAACATGGCAGATAACTGTGGAAATTAGGGACAAAGATGATGAAGGGCCACCCCCAAGACCCTGCTGCCACTCCCTCCCCCGCAGCAGGGAGCCCAAGCTCAGAGAGGAACTTACATTTTCGGACAGAGTCTTCAAAGCCAGTTATACCTTCCAAGAGGTCCATGTTTTCATCCAGGGCTTGCTGTGAGGGGATTTCAACAATGTTGAAATAACAGTAACATCAATAATGTCAAGAATATTGACACTGACAATAGCAGAAGTGAACACCCCAGCATCCACCCCACATGCCAGCCCTTCTTCTGTGTGCAACCTTATGATGCAACAGTTGCTGGTTTTTTGCCCATTTTATTTTTCTCTCTGGCTGCACCGCACAGCATATGGGATCTTAGTTCCCTGACCAGGGATCGAACCCGCACCCCCTGTAGTGGAAGTACAGAGTCTTAACCACTCGACCGCCAGGGAAGTCCCTTGCCATTTTAGAGATGAGGAAATCAAAGCTCAGAGCAGCTAAGTGATTTGCCCAAAGTCACAGAGCTGGGGTTTGAACCTGGCAGGCAGAAACCACAGTCCCAAGAGAGGAGACAGATACAGATTAGCTACCTACACTCACCTACCTCCTCTTGGCTCCCATCTCCGAGAAAAGGGCAACGGTCCTACCACAGCCCACGAGGCCCCCCAGGATCTGCCCGCCACCTCCTCCCACTCACCCCCTCACTCCAGCCACTGGGGCTCCTCGCTGCCCCTTAGAAATTCCAGACACCCGCCCACCTCAAGGTCTCTGCGATGGCTGCCTTGGGGGCTGGAACTCTCCTCCCCCACGGCTACCACTCCCACCTCCTTCAGGCCTCTGCTCAAATGCCACCTTCCCAGCCAGGGCGCCCCCCAACCTCAGTGTGAGAAACGAGGAAACTGCAAGGACAACGGGAAGGAGCAGCCGGTGCAGCGGGAGGAAAGCCAGGAGAGCAGCTGTCCCGGAGGCCAAGAGACACTGGCCAGGCAGCTGGGCTGGGGCCTGAGAACTTCCTACTGGACCTAGCAATGGGGACGTCACTGTGGGTCTCAACAAGAGTGGTTCCACGGCCTGCGTGTGGGTTGGGGGGGCAGAGGCTTGGTCATAAAAGCCTGAATGCACTGAACGGCGGCGTTGAGTTCATGTGAGCAGGGGGAGAGGGGAGGCTGAGCACAGGCAACCTGGCCCAGGGGCGGGCTGACCGACAGTCCCGATTCACCTGAGACTGAGGGTTTCCTGGGATGTGAGACTTTCAGCTTGAAAACCAGGAAAGCCCTGGGCAAACTGGGCCAGCCAGTGCCCCAGGCGGGAGCATGGCTGGAAGGGGAGCAGAGGGAGCGGGCGAGAGGCAGAGCTGGTGGGGAGTGTGGAGGTCCAGGGAGCATTCTCTTTTTTAGGCTAGAACTCACTGCGGGGTGGACGTGTTCCATGGTGACAGAAACGGTGCGGGAAGGCCAAGTTTGCTGCTATCAGAGACTGGGGAGAACGGCTTGGGTGATGCTGCCGAGTGGGCCAGGGGGAAGGGGGTCGGTGCACTGGAGCAGGGGTGCCTGTGACGGGAGGAGGGACAGGTCGCCCACGAAAAGAGAAAACTGCTCTGTCAGCTGCCGGTAGACGTCTGGCCAGGGGCCGGAAGTTCTGCTTTGGCTGCTTCTATTTTCCCATGAAATGAGAAGCCCGATGGTAAGCTGAGGTGGGGAGAAAGTGGTGGTGATGGGCAGCTGTGAAGAGCTGTCCAGGCGAGGGGGAGGGAAGCAAGGCCCCAGGCCAGGAGGAGCTGAAGAGCGGGTCTGGGTCGCTTGCTGGGTCTTCTCCAGCCTGGAGCATCCACTCAGACACAGGTGTCGAGGGGAGAAGCGCACGCCTTGCGCTGAAGGAGGAAGCAGAACAGAGGACTGGGGCTGCTGGCCAGGCCCAAGAATGTCGGGTCGGAGACTTGACCTCATGGGGGCGAGCTGGGAAGCGAGGAGGGAGTGGTCGGAGGGTGGAAACGTTTGACATTCATGGGCAGAAGAGGAGGCAATTGAGTACAGGCCGGTGGTTCCCAGCCTTAGCCGGCGATCAGAATCACCAAGGATAAGTGTTTAAAATCCCTAAGCCTAGACCACACCTGGACCAATTATATCAGATTCTGTGAAGGCAGGATTCACGTGTTCGTATTTGTTTTTTTAATTCCTCAGGGGTCCAATGTGGTGAGAACTGGTCTAGGATGTGAGGGGCTCAGGACACAGGTAGGACAAGAAATCCGGAAACTGAGAAGTCAGGGTGGTGGAAGGATGACGGATCTGCCCTTTCAAGTATCTGAGAATAAAGACAGCAGCGGTAAAGAGTGGCAGTGAGCTAAATTCTTCACAAAAATGAGGAGCAGTCATGGGGGGCGGGCAGGGGGGTGCTGATACCAACAAAGTGGGGCAGGAAGTGCTATCACAGGCGCTTCGGGGCTGGGGCCTGGGGGAGGGGAGATGGGTCTGGGAGCAGCAGTGAGAAGCTAGGAGGCCACCTGGCCTCCCACTTGGGAAGCTGCAGGAGTGGGAAGCCAGGCTCAGTTAGAACAAGAAAAGGGGGAAGAGTATTTAGAGGATGGAGG